TTAGCTGCCTCGGAGCAACACCCTCGGACCCCGCTGCCTGCCCGAGGGATGATGGAGAAGCAGAGGAGCCAGGATGAGGCTCTCCAGATTAAAGCATGTTCCATGTCACAAACCCTGAGACATTGCCTGGGGTGTGGGGTCCTGCAAGACGGTGCCAGTCCCAGGGAGCGGGAAGGGAACAGCTACGGGGACAGGACAAGGAACAAATCTCATCCATGAGGTTTTCTTGCAGATCCTGGTGCAGAAGGGACGCATGTGAGCGAGACGAGATGTCACATGTTAGAAGGAAGGTGGAGAGCAGGCAGCAAGTCTTAGCAAGGAGCTGAGGACTTCGGGCGAAGCTTTGAGAAAGAGAAGTCCCAAATACAGGGAGGATTAGGGGAGCCTGTGTAATTCATACGTGAGGCCCAGAAAGCTTCACCTCTGAGCTCCCTGGGCACTCCTGTCTCCCCAGCACACTCCCGTGTCCTCAGCATCCTCAGCATCCCAGGTCCTCCTGACCACAGGCAGGAGAACACAACCATTAGGAGGAGCTGGGAAGGAGGACTCACCAGGAAATCAGCCCGTCTTTAGAACTTAAATGCTACTTATTGATGAATCAGGGAAGATGCGGACTAATGACATCCTCCCCAGTTATTTATTCATCGTGCGGCGCAGGATGTATCAGTGATGCTCGGATGCTTTGCTCATGCCAAGAATGGCAAAAATTCATTCTTTTTAAAGATGTTCATATAGGGCAGGCATCACGTGTCTGGGCAATGATCTGTCTGATTTTCAAATCCCCCTCTGCCACCTTCCCTGGCTGACACTGCACCTCACCTGCCTCCCTTCGCAGCGGGGTGGACAAGCCACCACTTGCTTCTCACGGAGATCCCCTGAGGAACCGGGTTCCTTCCTTCAGCACGTGAACTCAGGCTCCTACTCGCACGGTCCTTTCATAGAATCACAGAATCCCAGGATGGTTTGGGTTGTAAGGGACCTTAAAGCCCACCCAGTGCCACCCCCTGCCATGGGCAGGGACACCTCCCACTAGCCCAGGTTGCCCGAAGCCTCATCCAGCCTGGCCTTGAACCCCTCCAGGGATGGGGCAACACCTCCAGGGATGGGACTCCCATTCAGGAATTATAGTTGAATAAGGAGCAAACTCACCCCAGATTTCCTCAACACGGACACACTGCCGTGCGGCAATCCAGGGGTGAGAGCAGCTCGCTGGGGATTGCCTCTGAGCTCCTGCTTTGAAATCCTCTGTCCTCTGAAGATACTCAGCCATGACCTGGTTGCACGTAACGGAGGCTCCACCACGTTGCAACAGAAGCTGCTTCAGTGGTTAATTACCCTCTCATTTCAGAACGCACGCGGATTTGTGAGGCTTTTGTAAGCTCTGGCATCTTTAGGAGGTGTTGCGGAGCTTGCATCTCTCAGGTACTCTCCTTTTTATAGAGGTATTAAAACAAATGGCTAAGCTTCCCAAAGAGCCAGCCAAGGGGATCTGAAGTGTCACAGCAAAATTTGATCCCTACTCTTCAGGGAGCATATGGACACCTTGGATCTTGGGCTGAGCCTGCCCTGTGATGCTGAACGTGGTGTCTCCTCTGCTCCAACAGGAAGAGCTGACCAAATAATAAGATTTTATGTTTCAGAAAGCAACATATTTCTTCTTTTCCCAACCCTTCATGGAGGAAAAAAATGTTGATTTTTGGGAAAAATTTGATCGCTGCCAATTTTCTTGACATCTTGAATGGGATTCAGGTGGAAAATGTTTGCAAAGCAGCCACCCTAAAGTGTCATCTTCAGCTGATTCTTTAACTCAATAACAAAGTAAACTAGCTAGAAGTGTGATTTGATAATAAAATTATTTTTGATAATAAAACAGTTGTTGGGGAAAAGTTGAAAATTTTGAATTTAACCCCTGAAAACGAGGCAGCAGCAGCTTGCTGTGTGCTTTTTGGTGGAAACTGTTTTATCGGTTTGTAATCAGCTCTGCAAGGGAGGCCGTATGGATCAGTGCCTCCTCTGGGAAAAACAGGGTTAGGATCAGGGTGTGTGCGCGTGTGCCGGCAACCTGCCTAGGGGCACGCTGATGATTTCAGGCTGCATTTCTACCTGCTCTTCCAACCCTTCCAGCTCACGCTTCCTCTGCCCTCCCTCTCTGCCCCTGCCCCTTTGGGTGCACAGATATAAACCCTCCAGCCAATATGTTTCCTTTGGGGGACAGGAAGGTTTGCCTGGAGGGGCCACATGGCTCTCGTCTTATCCCGACGCTTTCCCTAGAGACAGCGGCTGCTCCCGGTGAGCTCACACCGTGGGCACTCCTTCAGAGCCAGAGCGGCCGGGCAGGTTACTGCTCCAGCTTTGCTAGAAACCTCCCGACGCTTCGCCTCGCCGTGTGGAAGCAGTGCTGGTCCATCTCAAGGGAACACAGGTAAGCCAGGATGGGATGAGAAGCGAGCAGTGAGCCAGCAGCTCCTGGGCACTCTGGTTGCTCCCATTCTTCTGTTCCCTCTCCTTCTTTCTCATGTCTCCTCCATCCCTTCACCATTGGGATTGACCGTCTCGGGTCTGACTCTTTTTTGACCCTCCACAACCACTTGGATCGCTGTTCAAGCATCATGCAGAGCACCAGGGATCAGGAGAGATCCTGATGTGGTGCGAATGAGCACATGGAAACCCAAGATCGTGAAGAGTCAGGCTTCAAACCCATCTGCCTGCCTTCTATTTTGTTTTTCTTCTGTAGTTGGGATCTCACCTGCTCTGGTGAACCAGCCAGCCTGGGTTAGAGGGAGGGCATCCTTAACTTGCCATTGTAAAAGAACAGTGGGGGTTTATCCACAAGTCAGTTTATCTGGTTGGAGCAGGAGGTTACAGAAGAGCTTGTCTGTGTGAGCGTTGCACTCCCACGTTTTCTCACTTTGAACTTCTCCTTGGGAAGAGAAGCAGAGGAAGCTGTGGGAGCTTCTCACCGCTGCACACCTACGGCAACTGCTGAGCTCGGTGGTGTTGCTCAGCTGACACCGGGGCAAACAGGGGCTTGACTGTTTCTCTGCAAGAACATGATCCACTGATGGGTGGTTTTAAGACAAACTTCCCTTCCCTGCGTTAGACTCAAAGTTTAAAGGATTTTTAAAAAAAAGAAAGCTCTGTTTTCCACCCCTTACTACCAGTGCCTCTGGAGCTCAGAGCTGAGCTGAAGTGCTCGGAGTCACCCCGGTTCCTGCTCCTTCTGCAGAGCGGGAGAAGTGCAGCCGGATGGGTTAGTTCAGCACCGCATCCAGGGACTGAACTGCTCAGCTCCAGGGAATTTCCGTGGTTCTTGTGTACCAAACCCCCAGCTGCTAGGGTTTGGATGGTGCTTCCAAACACCTCTAGGGTTGGCACCCATCCTTAGCTGTCTATCAGCTTCTAAAAGAGCTCCAAAGTCTCCAGAATTTGAAACAAAACATGACAAACAGGAAACTTGATCAGAACTTGTACTTTTTCAAATTAATAAAAGAGGACTGAGAAATGACGCTCACACTGAGGATAGGAAAGTCTTTAGCATGGGGAAGAAAAAAAGGCAAAAAGTTTGGTTTGGTTTTTTTTTTTTAGAATCCCACTTGTAACTGCAGCTCCTGCCACTGCCAGAGGCCAGGCTGGGGGACCTGGCACTGGAAAGCCCACTCGAGGTGGGAAGCTCTGATGCCTTTCGCTGGGATAACAGGACGGAGTTTGCATGGGAGCATGTTCAAAGCAAAGTCACAGCGAAAAGACACCTCCTGGTGCCTTTGCTCCACACTCCCAGGACTCCGGTAATACCCGGTGTCTGTGCTGGTGCTCCGGGGCTAAGTTCACGTAAGGTGAGCTCCAGCCCTTGGGAAGATGCTGAGAAACAACGAAGGAGAACAGAGCCAATGAGCAATAAACCCTGTAGAGTTGTCCACTCCCAAAAGGGAGCTGACAGCCCACAAAGTACAGGGAAGTCCTCTTGGCAGAAAGACCTGAGTCATAAAGAAAGTGAAGAGAAGGGAGACGACAGGGTGCCAAGGAGAGGGTTGAAATGGGGGAGCATCGTGTGGCAGCAACAACCCCTGATGAGAGATGTTAATGCCACGGATGGGACGGTGGCGACCCTTCCCAGGCTCAGAATCCAAGAACATCTCCTAGGGTGACTTGTCACTCTTGCATTGCGGGGAGAGAGGAAATATTCTGCAATGTGATGGGTGCTGGGAAGAGGATGAGCCTTTCGTAGCAGGGTAAGGATGCTGTGCTGGAGTAAGCTGGTGCAACGTGTGTGTGCAAGGGGCAGGCAGAGCGCACTGCTCCCCGTTCCCTTCGGGTGTGCAGCACGCTCCTTCCCCTGTTGCAAGACTAACTCGCTCCTCTCCCTGTTGCACAGGTGGCCCAACGATGCCGAGCATATTTTCCTACCAGAGTGCTGATGTCGACTGGTGTGAAACCAACTTTGAGCGCTCCAAGTTCATTGCGGAGTACTACAACACCGTGAGTGTGGGCGCATCCGAAGGGCAGGCTGGGGCGCGAAGGCAGCGGGCTCCCAGCACCCAGGAGCTGCTTTTGGGAAACGAGATGGGACAAGCTTGTTTTCTCTCCTCCTCCTCACTCCTTTGAAATTCTTGGTGTTGGAGGGTGTTGGTATGGGGAACATTTTCTGAGCTTGAGGTAAATCATGGGACTTTTATTGCTTCCAACAGCCAGTTGCTGACACCATGAGCTGGGGTCAGGGGTACTTCTGGCACATGTGGGGCTGGGTTCCCAGTGAGAAAACTCTGGCAGCGCTCCTTAGCCCAGATCTGTGAGATCCTGTTATACCAGTCCTGCAGCTCTCCTGCCAGCTGGGGTAGGTCCCACACAGGGCTCATCTATCCCAGCTAAACGTACAGGAGTGGCAGTACAAGAGACAGCACTCGCACAAACCGTGTCAGGCAGGTTGGGAACCTGGAACTCAAGACAGAGTTGATGCCTGAGCCAGTTTCACCTCCGATGATCCTTTATAATTCAGGATCTATCCAGTGCCCGTCCCTTGAACGCAGCCTTCTGGCTTAAGCGTGGCTGGAAGCATCTGTCTGCAGAGGACTCGGCAGATAACCCGTCTCTGCAAGCATGTCCTTCTACCTCGGTGCAATTACAGGCTCGCAGGGGTGTGAGGCATGTGGATTTACAACCTTCCAAAGGCCTTGTTTACAACTTTTAGCAATTACTGTCTAACACTAGAAGTTCTTGTTCTCATGGAAATGCCTCTTCCTCTTTTTTTTTTTTTTTTTTTAAAGCATTTCCTGCTTTTAATAAATTGCCTATAATAGCGATAATACCCTTAGCCCAGTCCTGCAGCTCCCCAGCTCTAATTGCCCAGCCGGGGCCCCAGAGGAGGGATGCTCAGGCTGTATATAGTTACTTCTGTTTGAGACAGTTAAAAAACAACAATCTGGCAGTCCAGACCAAATCCTGCCCGCCTCTGGCATCCCACTGAGTGTGTTTTGCTGTTGCCTGTTTGCTGGCCCTACATCCCTGTCGGATGGGCTCAGAGCAAGGCACAACCAGCAAGGAGGCACAGAAAACACTCGTACTCACATCAGCACTTGAAATGTAGCTGGAGATTCCAGAGGCCTCTGTGCTTTGGAGTGACACTGGCAGTGCTGGAGGGGGGCTGACTTCCACAAAGAGCAGCAAGCCTGAAAGTTCTATTTTAAATCAGAATTCTGATTTCACCAAAAGAGTGCTGAGGCATTGGAACAGGCTGCCCAGGGCAGTGGTGGAGTCACCATCCCTGGAGGGGGTCAAGAAACGTGTCGATGTGGTGCTTGGGGACATGGGTTAGTGGGTTGGGTGGGGTTGGGTTGAGAGTTGGACTTGATGATCCCTGAGGTCTTTTCCAGCCTTAATGATTCCATGATTCCATGATTCTATGATTCATTCTGGGAGATAAATTTGCCTCACCTCCTAGTTTCGTACATAGGCAGTGTTTTTCAAATGTGTCTTAGGAGCTGAGACCCCATTTTCACGAGGATCCTGATTTACACCCAAACTGTCAAAGTGGCTCCGGATCCTTAACTAAGAAGTATCGCCAGAGCTCTCCAAAAGCATTTAGATATCTAACTGCTCTGTGGCACGCTGCTAGAGACCAGCTGGCGTGGCCAGATGCATAACTGTCCTCCTTAGGACCCAAAGCCCTCTCATTCCCATAAAACATTAACTCTTTGCTGCCTAGGTCGTTCCATGGCACAGGCTTTGAAATTACAGAGCTATTCCCAGGTGCCTAGTTCTGGACTGAGGTCCCTACTCATCACAGCCACCTCCCATGTCTCCATCCCACACCACTCGCGAGGCACCAGGCTCATCGGGATTCATTGGCACTGGGCAGGACTTTCCTCCAGGAGAGGAAAACTTCTCCGATGTTTCTGCACAGATGCAAACTAGTGTGATAATGAGGAACACAGAGAGATGTGGGCAGAGCAAACCGTGCAGAATTTTTTTCCAGGGATTAAGCTAGCCCTTGTTCTATCTGTGAACACAGGGCACCCCTTTCTCAGCAGAGAAAGAAGTTTTTTTGGTCCCTGCACTGATCTCCTTCTCACTGGGCCCGCTTTTACCAGTCCACAGAGCTCAGCAGAGTGCTGGCGTGGGTGGAGGGTACCACTTCTGCAGTGTCTGTCTTAGGATGCGACTCCCACTTAGAGAAAGCAGCAGAGACCTAAACCCGCCTTGACAGCTGCCTGCATCAGGGCTGGCGTATGATCTCCTGTCCAAAAAAAGGGGAGAAAAAAGAGCAATTCTTCCTAAAAACTGCTCCTGTCTGAGCATCTTACAAAGATGTAGCCAAAAGAGGGCAGGAGCATCCCTGACATGGGCATCACCCCTCCATCAGTCTGCACATGCTGGCTGGCACTGCCCGGCTCTTGCCCCTCGCAGAAGCACCAAGGGGAGCCCTCTTCACGCTCTGGGCTATCTCGCAGGATCGGGCTCCTTGTGATGTGCCCTAAAGGGGGAAATAGAGAAATCAGAAGCAGGCTGAGATCCCCAGCTATCCCTGCTGGCTGGCAGCACATTGCAGATCCAGCTGGGGCTCGGGGGAATGTCTCAGATGTGATCCGAACAGCCTGGATCTCCTTCTCTTCTCCCCTCCATCCATTTTCTCCCCAAATTCAGATTGCTTCCTCTCTGTGGCAAGTTTCATGGGCCTTATTTCACTGGCCTGCCTGGAGACAATGATATCAATATTGACTTCAGACAGAGTTTCAGACTAGCTGGGAATCCAGCCAGCTCCCCCCCAAGACTCCTGCACCACGAAATCAGCAGGGCTCCCGAATGGAGAGGGTGCTCTTCAACATCTTCTTCCCGAAACCGCCCCAGGGGTCACGCAGAGTAGTGTTGTGCCAGCAGCAGCAAAGTGCTCCTGAGAATTCCTCTGTGCCAGCTGTACCCTCTCTCTGCCCTGCTTGGGTTGGACGCTTTTCATCAGAAATAAGCACCAAGGGTATGAGCAAAGAGTGTGAACATTCTCTTTAAGTACCTAATAATACATGGTGGCCCATGATTGGAGGCAGTTCAGCAACAAAGCGCTACTTATAGTGACTCAGTGACCCAGAAATTTATTGTCTTCTGGCTGTTTGTAGGAGAACAGCGTTGTTCTACATGAGGGTCATCAGTCAGGGACTTGTTTTTCTTTTTCTACCCTCATTTCTTCCTGGAAATGACGGATCCAGGATGCTGGCAATAACACCCAGATCCTCAGCAGTCTCTCTGGCAAAGCAGCAGGAGCTCTGCCGTTGCCGTAGATCCAGAGCTCACGGATGCTTCATCGATTGCTGGAGATAAGCTCGACTGCAGGTGCAAATTACCTAGAACCGCCCAAAGAAGCACTCACTTTCAGGGTGTCAGAGCCGCAGCGTGCACCCCAGCCCTCCGCACAGGCTCCGTAACCTGGCAGCATCGCAGACACATCGATCACTCTCCGGTCTGCCCAGAAAGCCGCGTGCAGGAGCGCAGCAAGCTCCTTGCCCTGCGCTCTGGAAGCAAGAGACAAACAGCTGTTTCCTGCCCCAAAGCGCCGGCGTGACATTGCGATGTGAGGACACGCAGCCTCATCTTCTGCTGCGCAAGTCTGGCTCTTAGGAACTTGCTCTACAGGTCTGGAGAGGCTCTGAGGTATTCCCTTCTGTCTTTGGCCCTGTGGGCTCTTCTGTCAGCTAAAGCTGGCTCGCTGGCCTCTAAGGGAAGGAATGCACTCAGTGAGTCTTGCAGAAATCTCCTTTCGCTGCAGCAAATGCCTGTCTTAAGGACCAGCACATGCCCTGGCTGTTGTTGCACTGTGGCTGAGCTCACAGAGCCAGGCAGAGCTCTGCAAACCAGCGTCTCCTTGCCACAGACGGAGATGCAAAGAGGTTCTCCGCAGGTCTCTCTCTCCATCGTAGGCTGCAAAGTGCTGAGCTGCAGAAGCCCTGAGGCCTTTCCCATGATCCTGCTAACACACCGGGATTAAAGCCACGCTGCTGATCCCAGGTCT